CCAATGCCTGCCGGGCACACACGTGGGGTTCCAAGAGGTTCCCCTGGCAGGCAGGGTCTTGCTCATACCAGAGGTACCAAAGGGTGCATTTCAGGGATAAAGGGAATTCTACCAGCCTCTGGCATGCCGAAGGTAAATCAAGTCCTCGGAACGCCCCCTGCACGCCTGGACCCCAGCCCCCCAGGTCTGAGTACAGCTGGTCACCATGCCTGTCGTTATGGGCCCATGCCCAGAGTGCGCCCTGCCGACTGGAGCTTAGACAAGGGCGATTCTTTGCCGCCGTGCTTGCGCTACTGTCGCCAGCTCAGCCGCACAGCAAGACCCCTGCACGCTACAGGCCACGGGGACAAGGGGACCGCGGACAGCACCGGGAACAAAGGGGTTGGGTTCCAGAGCCAGATGCTCTCTGTCTCATTAAGAGACGGCCGTGTGGGGCAAAGGCGGCCTGGGTTGGCTCAGCTACCGTGCACCTGCGGGGGCTGCACGGCCCACACTTAGTTACCTGCTGTGCCATGATTTTCCTAGCGATTCCGAACAACGAACCCAGCACCGTTGGTTTTCTACTGAGCCCTGTACGTGGCCGCACTCCCCTGTACTCCCCACCACCTTGCTGGGGGGTTCTGTCCCGCTTGGAGTTTCTCTGTTCGATTCTGAGCACCCCAGTTTAAGAAGGACCAAAGGGACTCTGGGGAGTGCTGACCCAAGTGGCAGGGGCACCAGGAGCTATGTCAAATGTAAGAGGTGGGAGAGACCGAGGCATTGGCGATGGCACCTGGCGAGGGAGAGGGGGTGGGGAAGGCACGTTTCTTGGCTGCCAAGTTCTAGAAACATCCACTGTCATCTGGGTTGTCCCTTAAGATAGTAACAAGGGGCCGGCACCGTGACACAGTAGGTTAATCCTCTACCTGCGGCACCGGCATCCCATGTGGGCACCAGTTCTAGTCCTGGCTGTTCCTCTTCCAATCCAGCTCTCTGCTACGGCCTAGGAAGGCAGTGGAGGATGGCCCAAGTCCTTGGGCCCGCGTACCCATGTGGGAGACCAGGGGGAAGCTCCTGGCTCCTGGCTTCAGATCGGTGCAGCGCCGGCCGTAGCAGCCAGCTGGGGAGTGAACCAACGGAAGGAAAACCTTTCTCTTTGTCTCTCCCTCTCACTGTCTTTAACTTTACCTCTCAACTAAATAAATAAAGTCTTAAAAAAAAAAAATGATAGTAACAAGACCAACAGGTACAGGTGCTAGAGAGGCACCGACCATGGTCAGAGCAGCCGCCTCTGCCATTGACCTACAACGTGCCAGTGTCTTTACGGGGGAGCCGGTTCAGGTCCCGAGCCACCCTGAGCTAGGTGAATGGGAGAATTTTACAAGTACGTGGTGACCTTTGAACACAATGACATCACTTCCAGGGTGTTCTGAAGGAACCTTACACTAGGTGAAGAGATAATCCATGGATTTTGCTAATTCTTGGAATCCAGTCACTGGGGCCCCAAGGGTATTTGCCAGCCCTGGCACCAGAGGGCGCTGCCCCAAAGAGACACAGACCAGTGGCATTTCGGGGCCTTTTTTTTTTTTTTTTTTTTTTGAAAAAGAGGTGACAGGTGAGGAGGCACAGGGTACGGCATAGGGTGAGCCCTGAGGTCTCTCCCCAACTCACAGCAGAGCCGCCACCAGACGGGGCTGGGCATCCGGCAGAGGCCAGAGTGGCACAGCTGCGCTGGCCCTGTCTTGGAAGCAGGGAGGGTAAGGAGTCTTCCCTGGAACCTGAAAGCCCCAGTCCCTGAAACAGAGAACTAAACTCGGTGCGCGCTCATGCCCCCAGCTTAGCAAAGTCCCAGACAAGCCCCGCAGGTGCCAGGCCCCAACCTGAACCACCCGCGGCGGCACAGCCTACGTCTACCGGGTACCTGAGGACACTCGCAAAGCCACTACTGTTCTGGCAGCGGGATCGCCGTGTTGGGGTCAGTTTTTCAACAGTACGTACCTCCAGAAATGTTTGTGGGGGGGAAACTGTGAGGCCTAGATCTTCAACAGCCGGCATGGGTGGGGCAGTACAGGGCAGGGAGAAGAAAATCTGTGCACGGCGGGGGGGTGGTCCCTGAGTTGGTGACTGCCACCCAACACCACCCCCCCAACACACCTGCCACTGCCAAGCACAGGCCCCTGGAGGGACCCGATGGGAGAAGCTGACAGCTACTGTCAGGATTTCTAAGGCCAACGGCAGGCAGAGCCCCGGTCCACTTCCGGGGAGCTTCGGAAGTCATGGAGATAGAGCAACAGCACGGGTGGGCAGCTGGGCCTCCCTCTCCCACACCAATGGAGGCCACCTGCTCTGGGGACATGGTCAGGAAACAGAGTCCTCCTCCCCACTCGGGACCCTGCCCTGCCCCGTCTCCACCTCCCTCTCCTGAGTCCACACAGACTTCTTCCCAGCAGGACAGCCTGGGCCTCCTGGTGACATTAGGTCCCCATATTCTCACGACTCTATGTACGGCACAATCCCTTTAATCCTTCTCAACCGTGCGTGTCGTCTGGGGGTGTAACAGGGCCTACAAGGGTCCACGGGAGGTGAGGGCTCCTGGGAGCAGAGAGCCATGCCCCAAGCGCTAACCACCAGGCCAAGTTCACTGGCATCAAATTTGGCAGACAAGGAACCGGGGGAGGCGGTGTCAGATCTCTGCCGTGGTCGGGGGCTTGCCTGCAGCAGACTGTCCCTGCCTGGCACACAGGGGAAGATGCCCCACCTGCTCTGCTTGTCTCCAGTCCCCTGGCCCAACTCTGAGGAGGAAGAAGCAACTCCAAGGAGGCCCAGGCTGCATCAACTCACCCCCACCTCTGTCCAGCAAGGTGACGGTCAAATTAAAGCAATGCCCACCAGGCACCCATTGCCTTCCCGAAGCTCCCTGGAGCCTGCGGCCTCATCTGGAGGAGATCCGTCCTCGGTTCTCTGCTGGGCTGTGGGCGCAGACACTTCGGCCTCAGCTCCATGGGATGGACTTGAATTCACTCATATTCCTGGCTGAATGACCTCATCAGCTGGTGGTGGGGTGGGGGCAGGGAGGGGAAGGGGCTGCTTCCCTGACACCTGCCCGGTCAGTCCGGCTAGCCAGGAGGCTGGCCAGGAATCAGTTTCCTCCATGGCCACACCTTATCCTAACCTTAGCCCCATGCTGGCAGCGGTCAAGAATTTGACCTCAAATAAAAGAGGCCAGGGAAACAGCTTGGCTATAATAGACGGAGACACGGAGCGAGTAAGGCAGGAGGAAGAGTGTTAGTTTTCGCCTTAGGTGCTTGGGTTGCAAGCTCTAAAACAGACAGGTGCAGCCCTCCGTGCACAGCCCCAGGGATCTATCGGATGGACACAGCGGCCTGAGTGTCTGAGCCCGCTCCCCGCCACTCTCAAGTCACGGACCTCCTCCAATTCAACCAGGCACATACCCTCCCCAGTCCTCATTGCTAGAAAGATAGAGAATGAGAGGTGCACGTGTGTGTGTGTGTGTGTGTGTGTGAGTGAGAGAGAGAGAGAGAGAGAGAGAGAGAGAGAGAGAACAAGAGCGAGAGCGAGCAGGAAAGACGACACACACAGACGTACAGAGAGAAAAGTCCTCCGGAGTTGAACTTCAGCCACATTCTCTCACATTCACATAAAGAGAGGAAGAAGGGCAATGAGGGGGAAAAAATACTGGAAAGGGAAGAAAAAAAAAACAACCATACACAGAGAGAGAGAGAAAGAGAAAGAGAGAGAGGGGGAGAGAGGGAGAGAGAGAGGGAACGGTTTGGTAGCCCTGTCATTACGAGCTGGTTAGGCATAATGTAAACACACTTCTGCCTTCGCTTAATCACAGAGTGTGCCGTTTGGGTTTCAAAGGCGGCAGTAAATTGGGCGTAGCTGAGTGGGAGCTAAAAATTAACCAGCCATCTCTGTTTCAATTTGTAAGAAAACAAAAGCGGAAAAGAAATTATATTAAAAAAAAAAGGGAAAGGGTAAGGGGAGGGAAGAAGATTTAAAAAAAAAAAAAAAAAGGCCCAGAGGAGGAGGAGAAGAAGTGAAAACCGCCTCACCCCCAAAATGCAGGGTGCAGCTGGGAAAGGCAAGGACTTGGTCCCACAAAAGGCCAAGGCGATCGGGGAGTTGGTTTGTTGTGGGTCTGTTTGTTTAAACCCTCTTCCACAGCAACACAGCTCCCTGCCATGCCCGGGCTGGGCAAGCCTCCTGCCACCCCCTACCCCCGCCCCTGCCCCTACCCCAGCAGAGACTGGAGCCTCCACACTTGCACTTCCTTCGGGGTGGGGGTAGGGGACGAGACGCCAACAAGAGCTTAAAGAAACCATGAGCTTGCTTCTACTCTCTCTATGAAATCAAATTTGCTTATGGATTCACCCACAGGCAAAAACCCCCAAACCCATAACTGCACTCCCTGCCCACCAGGGCCTCTGGGCACCACCCCCCCAAATCTCCTACAACCACTGCCTCCTCACCTGCTTCTCTGTTCATTTGGTCTCATATCCGGGAGGGATTCACACCCGCCCCTGTGTCCACTGAAAAACCTCCACCCACCGGGCGTGTGCCAAAGCCACCTTTTTCCCTGGGGTTGGAGGTGAAGCCAAAGGACAGCCCGCCCCGTGTCACTGTTGGCTGTCTGTCAAACTCTCCCCAGCATTCTGGGGACATCCTGGCCCCATCCTAGGACACCTCCACCCCCACCCTGCAGCAGTGTCTCTCCGTGAGCACTAAGAAGGCAACATGGCGAGGGAGGGAGCGGGGAGAGCAGGGGACAGACAACAGGCCCCGGCAGGCAGGCTGAACAAGGATGGGGCTTCTGCGGGGCAGGGGGTGGGGGGTGGGGGGGTGGCGGTCACTGCCTCCCCCCACACACCCGGAACTGTGTTGTCTTTTGGAAATCAATCAGAGCAATAGAACAAACGGCAGCAAGTAAAATAAAACGGGGGAAGGGGGTTGGGGTGGGAGTGGGGATTGGGGACAAGGTAAAGAACGCGAGGACCTACCCGGAGTGTGGACAAAGTAAGCCAGATAGAGATCCAGTTCTTTGATTGTGACTCCAATGTGATGTGGTTGCACGCACAGGCCGGGGTTCGAGCACTGGGGCGACTTGTAGAGTCGCTCCCCGTCAGTACTTTCCAGGGGGATCCCCTTAAACAAGATCACCATGACCAGGTCCAGCCGCCACACCTTGTCTGCTTGGCGCAGGCAGTCAATCCGTCGGATCTTGCCCTTCTGGTCGGGGTTGGACAGCACGCAGCAGGGGGGCTTCTTGCCCGTGATGGTGAGCACGAAGTCCTCGCGGAACTCGGGCCGGATGTCCTTGCGCAGCTTGGCCAGCAGCCGGGATGCCCACTTCTGCTTGATCTCGGGCTTCTCGCCCAGCAGCTCATCTTTCACGGCCCTCTCCTCGTCCTTGGACATCCGCTTCTCATGCTTCTTGAAGTACTTGCGCTTCCTCGCCTGCAGGTTGAACCAGGTGTAGGAGAAGGCGCGGACGTGAGGCAGCAGCGCCTCGATGAATGGGTGGAACTCATCCTGCAGGCGACAAGCCGGGAGCATGCGGGGCGCGGGAGGAGGGGAGACAGAGGAGAGAAGCCGCGTTAGAGGGGGGCACGCGGAAAAACGCCTTCTCCTCCTCCTCCTCCTCCTCCCTCCCCACCCCCCGCAACAATGTTCTCTCTCGATTGTTTTAGAAAAGTGTGGTCTGAAGCCGCCGCCAGCTTGGCCAGCCACTTGCACCCATCTCAGCTGCGGCAACCACACGGAGGCACGGGGTGCCTGTCCACACACCTATTCTCTCTCTCTCTCTCTCTCCCGCTCCCTCTCCCTCTCTCTCTCTCTTTCACACACACACACAGACACACACGCGCGCGCACACAGACAACGTTGCCGTCCACACACACACACACACACACACTGCTGGTCTCCGCGCCAGGCTCCGTCTCGCCCATGACATCTCCATGTCCCCATCGCAGCCGTGAACTCGTGTGTCAGCTCGCTCCTGCGCGGGGGTCCCACAGCACCGACGCTGCCCTGCCGGTGAACGCACGCCGCCGCCGGGGGTGTTGCTGCAAGGGGCCAGCCTAGAGGAGTCCCGACACTGGCCGATTTTTTTGGGGGGGCCACCCCCAAGAAGACAGAAAAATGACATCCGCGAGCGAGCGAGCGAGCGAGCGAAGAAACGGGTCTGCCTTCTCCCTCCCCAAGCTGTTTGCAGTCTCTCCTGATCCACTTGGAACACCCACCCCAGCATTTCTTAATCAGACCTTAAATCCTAACTATGGGATTTCAGCTCTGTTAGCCACACCAATACGAATGTTAATCAAGTAATAATGGCACCAAACACTTCTTGTTATAGCACAAGCAAGGTGCCTGTCTCCGCACCACCAGGGTTAGCAGCTCCGTGGGCCGACTTGCGGCCCCCTCCCCAGCCTCCCACGACCTCCTTCCACCTCTTTCCCACTCAGTCAGGTGACAGAGGGCTGGGCTCTCTTGTTTTTATTTTTTTCTTTCTTTCTTTCTTTTTCTTTTTTTTTTTTTTTTTTTTGGCTTGTTTGCTTGTTTGAAGTTTAAAATAATAATGGATCTCTGTTTACAAAAAAGAAAACTGGAAAAAATTAGATAATTACCATCGTTCTGAAGCACCCGGCAAGGCCCCAACGCCCGATTCTGAGATTCTGGACTCAACAGAGTTGTGAGTTGGGGGCGGGTGGGGGAGGGGAGGAGGAGGAGCAGGGAGGAAGGTAAATGTTTTAAAGGGGGTTATTATTGGTGTTCCAGGGAGTAGGGGCCGGGCTTGGGTGGATTCTCAAACCCTTCCCCCTTCTCCCCCCACCCATGCTCCATTGCACAGAAGGGGGAAATTAATAATTTTTTTGGAAAAGAAGCAAAAAGAAAGAAAGGTTAGGGACCGCGGCAGAGAAGGGAGCGTGCTGGTTGCCACTCACGCCAGGTAAACAAAAGCCAACAACAACAACAACAACAACATTTTTTTTTCAATTTCTACCCACCCGTGCTTTTTCCAGTTTTTTTTTTTAAATGCAAAAATTTAAAAATCACAACCCACCTCCCGCCGCCAGCACAGCTCCCCCCCAACACACACACACACACACACACACAACAACAACAACAACAACACCCTACCCCACCCCAGTGCAAAACAAAAACAAAAGCAGAGAGGGAAGAGGCGGCAGCTGAATGGGAAAGGCTTTGGGCTTTGGCAGCCGCACAGGGACGTTAAACTTCGCAGGGAGAGGGGGAGCTCGCGGGCTCCGGGGAAGAGGGCGAGTTCCGACCGGCTGTAGACCGTTGCTGGCAGAGGCGTGCAAACGTGAGAGAGAGAGAGAGAGAGAGAGGAGAATGGAGGAGGGAGGGAGGGAGGCAAGACCCAGAGAGGACGTGGATGGGATGGTGTGTGTGTGTGTGTGTGTGTGTGCACGCGCGTGCGCTCGCGCTGGCTGGGTTTGGGGGTTTTGTTGCTCGTTCTCTCTCTCTCTCTCTCTCTCTCTCTCTCTCTCTCTCTCTCTCTCCCCCTCTCTCCTTTCATGCTCGATCCCCATCCATTGGCTTGTGCCAAATCAGTAGAAAGGAGGGGAAAAGAGGGAGAGAGAAAGAAGGAGGGAGAGGGGGAGAGGGGGAGAGAGAGAGAGAAGGAAGGAGGAGGAGAGAGTGAGAGAGAGAGAGAGAGAGAGCGCGCGAGCGTGGAGAGGAGGATCCACCTATTTGGCAGAGAGACGTCCGCGAGCAGCCAATGGCCGCATCTGAGGGGCGGAGGGAGCTGGGAGGGTTGGGAGAGCCCCCGGCAGTTGGAGACCAAAAACAATTTGCCCAATCGACAAGTTCACGACTAATGAACAAGCAAAGTCCAGCAGTTATGAATTTTTCATTCTAGGCTCCCACTCGGGTCCATTTGGCAGGAGCCACCCAGCAAATTTGGGGGGGTTGGGTGGTGGATGTGTGGCGAGGCGGGTGGGGGACTGGGGATTGAGGAAGACGTGGACTTTTTTTTTTTTTTTTTTTTAAGCCAGCAAAAATAAATCAATACAGGCCTGACTCCGGGCGGGCTGGCAGGCGGGAGCCCCAGTAGGCCTTGGGGGAAGGCAGCTAGCCCTTTCTCCCTGTGTTTGGTTCAGTGTTTTCTCTCCAGCCTGCACACTCTCCCTTGTTCTGCAATTTCCTTTTCTCGCTTTCTGTATGGAGCACACAGCGGCGAGTGGAAGTTTTCCTCCTCGGCCACACACACGAGCCTGCGGGACTATGAATAGAATCAGAAAAAAAAGCAGCAAGCTCCTAGCCCAGCCAGCAGGACTTCCAGGGCAGGGCCCCCGGCCCCCGGCGGGGCACCCAGGGTGCAGCCACCGCTCCATCCCCAGGCCGGCGGCTCAGCAGAGAGACACCAGGAAAGGGGAGCACCCTTCGCTTCCCCCACCCACCGCCCCCCCCCCCCGCCTCTCCCCAGCCCCCTAGCGAGCTCAGCCGCCTCCCTCGGCCCACACCCAGCCACGCACGCTCCATTAGCGGTGATGCCAACGCGCGCGACGCAGCTCGGCTCGCGAAACTGCAACAGTTTATTAAAATAGCCTCCTGTCACAGCGCTCTGCTGACGAGTGCTACACCCAGCCACAAACACAACAGCCAGCTCTGGGGGTGGGGCGGCAGGGTGCGGTGGGAGGGGAGAAGTCGCAAAAGTGAGATCCCCCCCCCTTCTCCCAGCAGGGGCGCGAATGTCACCCATGCCTCCCCCAACACCCACCACCCGCCAGACACTGGACTCCCGGCTTCCTCCCCCTGTGTCTGGCCCGCTCCAGCCCACTAGGGTCTCCTTAGCTGACCTCCCCCCACCCCACCTCCCGGAGTCAAAAGTCAGACTGCAGGGCCCAAAGCACAGAGCTCAAAGTGCAACAGCGGGGTGGGGTGGGGGATGGGAGAGAAGAGAGGCCATCGAGGGGAAATCAAGTCACACAAGCAAGAGCTCACAGGGCCTCCCTCCTGGGGGGCAACACCCCACCTCCTTGGGGGTCTCTCTGGGAAGGGCCATGCCTGCCTGAGGCCTTGGGAGAGCCCCAGGAAGGGGCAGCCATGAAATCAAAGGCAAAGCTGCCCGGAGAAGGGACCCGGAACACAGAGGGAGAGATGGGGGCATCTGATCAGGCTTGGAACCTGTCCCCTACAGCAGCCCTCTCCCCAGGCTCGGCCCTCAGCTGGCAAAGGGAAAAAGGTCACTGCTTACTCGCGCCCCTTTCTTCCCTCCCCCGCCCCTCCGCCCGTGCCCTTTCTGTTCGGTGGAAGGTTCCTGGGGTGTGCGAAAACAAAACGTTTAGCCCTGGGCCCGCAGCGGGCAGCTGCACGGGACCCGACTTGGGACGCGCCCTCCCACCGCCGGCCGTGTCCTGAATGGTCATCTTCAGGGGCTAGGAGCTCCCTGCTGCTGAGAGAGTGGGGTGGAGGCGGGAGAGAGGGACGCCGCCAGAGGCGGCGCCATCAGGGACAGGCCCCTTGGGGTGCTGTTCAATAATTCACAGCCTGTTCATAACCAGCTTCGGTGCCATCAGCCGAGGGTGGCGGTCGGCGTGGCTCCTGGTGCCTCCTGACGACCTTCTCGCTCGCGCGGCATGGGTGCTGCTCTGGGGTTCTGATTTACATTAGACGCCAGACAGCGAGTGGAAAGCGCCCCAGCGGGGGCCTCCTGGAGAATCCTGCCCTGTGTGTTCCCTTCGTGAACTGCGACACCGACGTGGGTGCACGGGGATCCGGTGGGAGCAGGGGAGGGGGTGAGGCGGATGTGGGGAGGGTCCCCTTCCCTAGAGGAGTTAGGGACTTAGGATAGGATGGCCCAATCACTCCTGCAGCCAGTAAAGGGTCAAAGGTCGACAGAGTGGCAGGGTGATCAGCCGGAGAGGAGAGGTGGTTGGAGGAGGAACAGACGGGGTGTCCATGGAACCTTCGGGGACCACACAGAGCCCCGGGCTCCCCTCAAGGGGGCCTCTCCCCTCATCCTGGCACCCAGCAGAAGGCTACCCTGGAAGCACAGCCCAGGTACTGGCCAGAACAGAGGTCGAAACGCTCAGGTTCCACTGGAAACCCTTGGAGCACCCCCCCAGCCAGCCAGCCAGCCCCCTGGCCTCCTCAACCCGAATGCTTTTGGTCGCAGCCAGCAGGCCAGACACGCCCCCTCAGGAGCCCCAGACAAAAGGGGACTGTCCCCCTTTTGTTAAAAGAGTCCTCAGAAGATTACCTGTCCCAGGCTCCCTGCCTTCTCTCCTCCCCAAGGGGCAGGGGGAGCCCACAGCCGAGACCAAAAACCCTCAGAGGAGCAGGGGCTTGTGCAAGGATTGGAAGTGGTGCAGGGAGTGAGGGGACAGGCAGGAGGCTGAGGAAGAGGAGGGGGAGGAGGAAGAGGGATGAAGGGGAGAGAGGGAATGAGAGGGAGAACTTAGGGGAAAAAGAAGCCAGTGATTGGGGGAGCAGGGTGAGAGTCAGAACAGAAAAATGAAAGAATACAAGGCGAGAAAAATGGAGGAAAGGCAGAGAAAACTGGGGTGTGCCGGGAGAGGGGAGAGAACACCTCTCCCCCATCCATGAGAGGCCAGAAATGAGACTTCTAAAACATTGACAGGGGCTTCCGATTTGCAGGGATTTTTTTTTCTGTCAGTGTGAAAGAAAGGGTTCTTTCTTTTTATTGTGCAGAATATAGAATTTGGTAATACACGCGCACACACACACACACACACACGCACAACAGTTTTCACCGCAACATTTCTAAAATAATAAATACCCATGCTGACTTCAGGCTGCACGAAGCAAATTGTGTGCCCTGCCACCTCCTCTCACTGCCCCGAAAAGAAAGCAGGCCACAGAGGGAAGAGAAACAGAGAAGGAGCAGGAGGAAGGGGAGAGGGGAGCCAAACCCGCAGAGGAGGGTATCAAATGGAGCCCCAAAACTGCACAGGAGGATGAGGGGGAAAGGGGGGCCGAGCTGAGGAGGAGAACAAAGTTGGGAGCAGGAAAAAGGGGGCTCAGGAGTGAGAATGAGATGGCAACAACACAGCCTAACTAAATGCACAGTGAGAAAATGCAATGGGTGCCCCCCCAAACTCCGCTTGCACCCGATCCTGTCCACCGGAAGCCCTGTGGAGTCCTGGATTGAGAGACAGAGAAGACAGAAAAAAAAAAATCTACCAGTGCCTCCCTGACAGAGACAGCATTAGAAATTCTTCAAGGAAACAAAATGAATTTCCCAGCCTTGAAACAGGTTTTGCAACTGGCCCCAGACCTGCCAACCAGCGAAACATCGAGCCGGATTCGTGTCTTTCAGGATAGGGGACCGCTGTTGGAAGGTGTCTTTATCGTCAAACAAACAAACAAACAAAACAAACCACTACTATTTGTCCGCGGCTGGCTGGCTTCAAGGCCTCACGCTTACACTTCTCAGGCCCTAGAGACACGTGGGCCCATCCGGGTTTGGAGAACTTATTCAGAAAGCAGATTACTGACAAAAACAGACACACAAATGACTGGGGATCCCGCAGACGGAGCAAGAAGAAATGTGCAGGAAATTAAAAAAAAATTGGTCACAAAGAGAGGCCCCCACCCCCACCCCCGGGGTAGTTTCCCCCACTTCATTCCTGGCACTTCATAATTCAGGCTTGGTCTGAACGGAAAGGCGGCGGCGGCGACATCACAGTCCCCATCTCATCCCATGGGTCGCTGGCACTGGCCACACTCTCGGGCACGGGCACGGGCAGGAGGGGAGGTAGAGAGAGAGGCTGAAGTAGCAGTCCCACGGGGGGTGGGCAGCAAAGAGCCTCCCCCACCCCCCCAACCCTTGGCTGTTTATCCTAAAGGTGGGTGGGGCCTCCCTTCTCTCTTGGGGTGGGAATGGGGGCAGGCAAGGGGCTCTTGCAACCAGAGCAAAAAAAAAAAAAAAAAGCATCCAAGAGTCTGCAAACGCCAGGAATGAAAACCAGAAAAGGCACTTCGCAAGGAGGCTCGGATAATTTGGACAAAGCGGGTTTTTGGCTTGCCTTGGGCCTGTTTCCTTCCAATCGCTCAGGGAAAAAGACGGCCGCACACGCAGGGCTCTCTCCAGCGTCTTCACGCCGGTTGCACGGGCTTGCCCCTCGCCCTGTCCCTGCCGTATTGGGTTCAGGACGGGGTCTGCCTCAAACCAGGCCTCGCACACGCGCGTGTGCATGCGCGCGCGCACACATACACATACACACACACACTTATCTCCTGCAACCACCCCCCCAACACACCCCCACGCCACCCCCGCCTCGCTTCTCTCTGCCTTTTCTCCTCCTGACGACAAACCCGGAGCGGTGGCCTGGGATCGGGCCAACAGGCAGCCTTGTTCTGGCTCCGAAAGCGCCCCTGCTCCAGGCGTATCTTCCCCTCACCCTCTTGGCACAGAATAAAATAGGGTAAGGACAGGGGTATTGGGGATGGCGCTCAGTTCTCCCTAGAGCGCCTGGAAAGTGTTTACTTTTTCAGCTCATCCTCTCCGGGAAATGGGAAACCAAAAAAAAAAAAAAAAAAAAGAAAGAGAGAGTCTTTAATTCATTATTCAGCTTCAAACTTCCTCGTGTCACCAAGGAGGGGGAGGCCGAGCCGGGGCAGGGGGCAGGGAA